AGGTTTTTATGGTTTTAGGTCTTACATTTAAGTCCTTAATCCATCTTGAGTTAATTTTTGTTTAAGGTGTAAGGAAGGGATCCAGTTTCAACTTTCTACATATGGCTAGCCAGTTTTCCCAGCACCATTTATTAAATAGGGAATCCTATCCCCATTCATCATTTTTGTCAGGTTTGTCCAAGATCAGATGGTTGTAGATGTGTGGTGCTATTTCTGAGGTCTCTGTTCTGTTCCATTGGTCTATATATCTGTGTTGGTACCGTACCATGCTGATTTGGTTACTGTAGCTTTTTAGCATAGTTTGAAGTCAGGTAGTGTGATGCCTCCAGCTTGGTTATTTTTGTTTGGGATTATCTTGGCTATGCAGGCTCTTTGTTGGCTCCACATGAAATTTAAAGTAGTTTTTTCCAATTCTGTGAAGAAAGTCAATGGGAGCTTGATGAGGATAGCATTGAATCTATAAATTACCTTGGGCAGTATGGCCATTTTCACGATATTGATTTTTCCTATCCATGAGCATGGAATATTCTTCCATTTGTTTGTGTCCTCTTTTATTTTGTTGAGCAGTAGTTTGTAGTTCTCCTTGAAGAGGTCCTTCACATCCCTTGTAAGTTGGATTCCTAGGTATTTTATTCTCTTTGTAGTAATTGTGAATGGGAGTTCACTCATGATTTGGCTCTGTATTCTTTATCAAAGTTCTGAATATTAGCCAAATCATCAAAGAGGATATTCATTACCTTTAATTCTTATAACTTTTCTTAGCAATAAAATTCATGGTAAGACAGCTAGCAGATAAAAAATGTACAAGTACATAGTTTAAAACAACACTGATTAGCACACCAAAAGAAAATTGAGCCAATCCTTGTTATATGTAATACAAATATTTTATATATGTACATTTAGCTGTGTTTGGAGACCCACGTTTCTACACATATATAATTATTTAAGACATAGTTTATGTATAGCTACCATGAACACAATAAAATACATTTTATTTCTATATTAACACATTTTAACCTATCTTAGTGATCTGTAGAAAGATCTAGACAATGATTCTGGTTTTAACTACATTTCTTTTTTGTTTCTTTACCTTGGAGGTCAAGACATCTTTATGACAGAAGAACAGAAGAAATACTACAATGCAATGAAAAAGCTGGGGTCCAAGAAGCCACAAAAGCCAATTCCTCGTCCAGGGGTAAAAAAAAATATGTATCTTTAGCATATAGATTTTCAAATTATTTCTAATTCATTTTTAATGCACATCTTTAATTTCTAGATACTACTTGAAAAATTTACTCTGCATTCAATATTATTCTCGTTTCTTTGCAGAACAAAATCCAAGGATGTATATTTGACCTAGTGACAAATCAAGCATTTGATATCAGTATCATGGTTCTTATCTGTCTCAACATGGTAACCATGATGGTAGAAAAGGAGGGTCAAAGTCCATATATGACTGACGTTTTATATTGGATAAATGTGGTTTTTATAATCCTTTTCACTGGAGAATGTGTGCTAAAACTGATCTCCCTCAGATACTACTACTTCACTATAGGATGGAATATTTTTGATTTTGTGGTTGTGATTATCTCCATTGTAGGTAAGAATATTTATTATTCAGATTTTATTTTTTGAGTAAAGCTACACTTCACTTATGCTCGAGGAAGTATATTCTGAATTCTTGAATGCAGATTTATTCTTGAGTAAGTCAGTATAATGAAAGAATGAAAAAATCCTAAAAAGCAAAATAAAAATATCTGTGTCTCTCATACTACAGTGTTTCTGGGTTTACGCTACAGGCCCCAAAGCCAAATATTTCTATCTGTTAGAAGGAAATTATACTTGTTGATATTTAGTTTCCAATATTACCTTTGCAAAGCTAGTTACCATGTTTATATATAGCTGTGTATATAGCTGTGTCTTGGAAAAACCAGTGTTGAATCTGAAATCACTTCTGGTTTTAGCACATGTGAGACTTGTCATTTGATTAATGATAATATCAATAGCCAGAATATCTGTGAATTTCTGAAAATTCTTCCAGAATTTAAAGTGAAGTTAAAGTCTCTAGAAATGCCAGTTTTATTTTTTAAGGCTTAATACTTCACAAGTTTATAAAATGCGAATCATTCCTCAACCAGCCATGGTCATGTCTGTGAATAACAGCACATGATTTTATACTTCCTACATATTCATTATCATGGCTGTTTTTCTATCTTCTTGGGTTTTTTTTCATTATTTTCACATATCTTGCAAAGTATTTTAGGATTGTATTTCTTTTTAGAATTATAAACTTTTAATAGAGATTATAGAGATTATTTACTACAAACTTAATCAACAGGTTATCAGTCTGAAAAGGTTAAAGGTTGCATAACTTAGACTCATAAAACTGAGTGCCACAGAACAGAATAAGCATTTAAAATCAATATTTTTGGAAAAGGATATTATCACCAGAAGTCATACCAAAATTGATATAGGAAAATCAATTAAAATTTAGATGAGAATTTCACACTAACAATAATAATTCTGAAAGCATTCCCATTAAGTCAGGGAAAAAAAGGTGTCCCTGTATCATCCCTGTTTTTAATAGTGTTGGCCAATGCAATTAGATAAGAAAACAAAGAGGTACATATATCCAAACAATGGAGCAAACGATCCTTATCTTAATATAATGACCTTCTTCATATAATGAAAGAAGTTCTTCATATAATGAATGACCTTCTTCATATAATGAGAGAATCAACTAAAAATAAATTCAATTAGAGTTGAAAAGGTACAAATTTTAAATTACATGTGCCAACACTAATAATCTTATACATGAAAAAAATAGAAAATCTGATTCACAATTGCAATAAAAATAAAGTAAATTATCTAACAATAACTTTATCATATGAGACTTCTGAAGAAAACTTTAGGATATAAAAGAAAGCTGAAATAATTGAAAGGATTATCATGTACTTAGATAAGCTTCTATCATTGTAATTAAGACTTTTTTATTTATTAATCTACAAGTTCAAGGAAAATATCAATGAGTCTTTTTATGCAGTGGGGGTAATAAATTGACAATAACAATGTAAGTCTAAATGATTCTAAATTCATCGGAAGAAAATTAGGGTGATAAGAGGTGGCTTATTCTGCAAAATATTAAGACTTATAATATTGATGTTAAGTAAAACTGTTCAAATACAAACACTCAATGAGTTTGAAGAGAGAGTCCAAATTAAACTTTAATGTATAATTACCAATTTACTGAGTGAACGGATCACATGAATCAAAGTCTATAGTTAAAAAAAGAGATTCTAGTAGGAAATATGTGGAAATAGACATATAACCATATACTCTTATAGTCCTTTCTATTCATAACACAAATTTGTAAAGCTAAAAAAAAAACGAAGAAGAAATGACTGCACAAAAAAACAAAATATTCTTTGAGGAAAAAATCATCATAAATAAAAGGTTGAAAGACAAAAAATAGGGGAAATGTTTATGTAACAGTTAAGGCTGAGAAAGGATCAATACTTTAAATAGAAAATTGTTCTTATAAATTAATAAGAATATAGTAAAAATCCCAATAGACACATGGGAAAATACCAACTAAGCCAAAAACAGAAGTTAAAAACAACCAATAAGGATACAAAATGACAAAATACAAGACAAATTGTGGATTATTTTCACAAAAAATGCAAATAAATTACAATAGTAGATGTTTTCAAATGTCATGACCATTTTTTGGTAAAAAGTTATAAAGAAGAATGGTAGTACTCAATACTGGTGAACGTGTAAGGTATGAGCACATTCATATACTGCCATTAGAAATGTTAATTAGTACAGGCTTTCTGGAGATAGGTTCAGCTATATATAGTGTATTTATATATACACATACATACTATATATAGTATATATTATGTATATATATAGCATGTGTATATATATATGGTATATGTGTATACATAGTATGTGTGTATTTATATAACTGTATATATGCTGTTGAAACAAGTTCTGTTAATATATTATTAAAACATACTCATGCAATTAGGAGAACATACCTATTTAGATATTCATTTCAGTAACAAAAATGGAAACAGTATAAGTGCTAGTCTTCAATCTGTGGTTATTTTAAGAGAGCATTATACCACTATAATAAGTTATTTTGTTGTCATTTTTATGAAACTATCTCCATGACACATAAATAAATTAAAATAGGTTATAGGCTGGGAACCATGGCTCATGCCTATAATCCCAGCACATTGGGAGGCCGAGGTGGGTGAAATCATTTGAAGTCAGAAGTTTGAGACCAGCCTGGCCAACATGGTGAAACCCGTCCCTACCAAAAATATAAAAATTAACCAGGTGTGGTGGCGCATGCCTGTAGTCCCAGCTACTCTGGAGGCTGAGGCTGGAGAATCACTTGATCTTGGGATGCGGAGATTGCAGTGAGCCAACATCACGCCACTGCACTCCAACTTTGGTGATAGAGCGAGACCCTGTCTTGAAAAATAAATAAAAAATAGGCTACAAAAAAAGCTTATATAACATGAATACATTTGTTTGTGTGTGTACATATGCTTGCACAGAAAAATGTCTGAAGTGATACTCAAAAAAATATTGATAATAGTTATTGTTGTTGACATTTCAGGTGGTTTATATTTTCTTTTAGCATTTAATGGTATTGGTTGAATTTTCTATGTGAGTAGGTATTATTCTTAAAATTTAAAACACTATTATGGAGGAAGAAAATGGCCCATGAACTTAGTAAAAAGGAGAAAATGTCAGAATGGTAATGTCAGTCATTTTTCTTTGGAATTGCTTAATCCTTTTTTAAGTAATTGCATTCAGTATAAAATAACTGTCTTGAATTCATAAGAAACGAGTTGACAGATAAAACTGTTTAGAGTCATCATTTTATGTAGCATAGATATTTAGATATTTTATTTCTATTATTTTCCTCCACACATAGGTATGTTTCTAGCTGATTTGATTGAAACATATTTTGTGTCCCCTACCCTGTTCCGAGTGATCCGTCTTGCCAGGATTGGCCGAATCTTACGTCTAGTCAAAGGAGCAAAGGGGATCCGCACGCTGCTCTTTGCTTTGATGATGTCCCTTCCTGCATTGTTTAACATCGGCCTCTTGCTTTTCCTGGTCATGTTCATCTACGCCATCTTTGGGATGTCCAACTTTGCCTATGTTAAAAAGGAAGATGGAATTAATGACATGTTCAATTTTGAGACCTTTGGCAACAGTATGATTTGCCTGTTCCAAATTACAACCTCTGCTGGCTGGGATGGATTGCTAGCGCCTATTCTTAACAGTAAGCCACCTGACTGTGATCCAAAAAAAGTTCATCCTGGAAGTTCAGTTGAAGGAGACTGTGGTAACCCATCTGTTGGAATATTCTACTTTGTTAGTTATATCATCATTTCCTTCCTGGTTGTGGTGAACATGTACATTGCAGTCATACTGGAGAATTTTAGTGTTGCCACTGAAGAAAGTACTGAACCTCTGAGTGAGGATGACTTTGAGATGTTCTATGAAGTTTGGGAGAAGTTTGATCCAGATGCAACTCAGTTTATAGAATATAACAAGCTCTCTGATTTTGCAGCTGCCCTGGATCCTCCTCTTCTCATAGCAAAACCCAACAAAGTCCAACTCATTGCCATGGATCTGCCCATGGTCAGTGGTGACCGGATCCATTGTCTTGACATCTTATTTGCTTTTACAAAGCGTGTTTTGGGTGAGAGTGGGGAGATGGATTCTCTTCGTTCACAGATGGAAGAAAGGTTCATGTCTGCAAATCCTTCCAAAGTTTCCTATGAACCCATCACAACCACACTGAAACGGAAACAAGAGGATGTGTCTGCTACTGTCATTCAACGTGCTTATAGACGTTACCGCTTAAGGCAAAATGTCAAAAATATATCAAGTATATACATAAAAGATGGAGACAGAGATGATGATTTACTCAATAAAAAAGATATGGCTTTTGATAACGTTAATGAGAACTCAAGTCCAGAAAAAACAGATGCCACTTCATCCACCACCTCTCCACCTTCATATGATAGTGTAACAAAGCCAGACAAAGAGAAATATGAACAAGACAGAACAGAAAAGGAAGACAAAGGGAAAGACAGCAAAGAAAGCAAAAAATAGAACTTCATTTTTGATATATTGTTTACAGCCTGTGAAAGTGATTTATTTGTGTTAATAAAACTCTTTTGAGGAGGTCTATGCCAAAATCCTTTTTATCAAAATATTCTCAAAGGCAGTGCAGTCACTAACCCTGATTTCCTAAGAAAAGTGGGCAGCATTAGCAGATGGTTATTTTTGCACTGATGATTCTGTAAGAATCGTAAGAGAACTCTGTAGGAATTTTTGATTATAGTAAACAAAGGTGATTCAGTTTTTTGGTTTTCAATAAATCAGAAGACCACATAGAAAACTTTTACATCTGCCTTGTCATCTTTTCACAGGATTGTAATTATTCATATTTCCCATGTAAATAAACAACACACACACACACAGAAAAATCTATTATTTATCTATTATTTGAAAATCAACAAAAGTATTTTGCCTTGGCTTTGCAATGAGATGCTTGATAGAAGTAATGAACATTAGTAATGAATGTTTAGTTAAAATGCATTATTAGGGAGCTTGACTTTTTAGCAATGTACAGAGGTTATTCTATATATTGAGGTGCTTAAATTTATTCTACATTGCATTAGAACCAATTTATATGTGCCTATAAAATGCCATGGGATTAAAAATATATGTAGGCTATTCGTTTCTACAAATGCTTTTCATTCATCTTGACTCACATGCCAACAAGGATAATACTTACCTTTAGAGTATTGTGTTTCATAGCCTTCTTTCATATCCCTCTTTGTTCATAGAATAACCACAGAAATTGAAAAATTATTCTAAGTACATATTACACTCCTCAAAAAATAAAGATAACTGAGAAAAAAAGTAATTGACGGAAGTTCTATTTGCTATTACTTATATAGCCTAACATTGGGCTGTGCTGCCCAAAATACTGATAATAGTCTCTTAAACTTTTGTCAAATTTTCCTGCTTTCTCATGCGGTATTGTTTAGTCATCCTTTAGCTGTAAGCAAAGTTGATGAAATCCTTCCTGATATGCAGTTAGTTGTTTGATCATGGTATATGTTTGAGCAGATAATAACCTTGGCACAGTATTTATTGCATCACTTGTATACAATCCTGTGTTTGGCAAGCTTTCAAGTCATATAATATGACAGACTTTCAACACAGATATATGTGTTTAGTATGAATAAAAAAGCATTGAAATAGGGATTCTTTCCAACTCGCTCTCTTGCCACCAACTTACTTTCCTAAATTATGGAAGTAATCTTTTGGACCTACATACTTCAATGTATACAATGAGGAAGATGTCACCTTCTCCTTAAAATTCTATTATATGAAATATATTTTGCCTCAATCAACACAGTACCATGGGCTTCTAATTTATCAAGCACATATTCATTTTGCATTAGCTGTATACGTCTAGTTTTTTGAAAACACCTATTAATAGTACTTTGAAAAGAAATAACTGTAATGCTTTTTTTCATGAGTTTATTTCAGGAATATGAGATCTTTATTCTATAAAGTCATTCATGCACAGGCAAAAGTTGAGCTACATAGATAGAACATAGTTTTATTTAGAAGATTTTTGTGGGAGGTTTTGAAGCGAATATGTAAAACATCTTTCACTAATTTGCTTTTCATATTTAAAAAATAATAAATTACATTTATATAATAAATGTTTAAAGTACATATTTTTGTTGTTCTGAAAATTGAAAAAGAAAGGATTTAAATGTACTTATAGAAACAAACGGTTATGGTTAAAGAATGAGACAGGAAGTCTAGAATGTTTTTAAATTGTGATATATTTTACAACATCCGTTATGACTTTGAGACATTTGTTCTAATGTACGTATAAAACTATATCTAGGGCTAAAGATTCTTTATACCATCTTAGGTTCATTCATCTTAGGTTATTTGAACCACTTTTTAATTTAATATGAAAGACAGCATGCAGTGTTTTCCGAGACTATATAGATCATTGCATCCCATACCTGCCACGCCTGTTGGAAATAGGTTTTGATAATTTAAGTAGGGACTTACAAAAAATATATTACAGTCATCAAATTTTTTAATACATTCAATTAAGAATTTAACATCACCTTAAATTTGAATTCAATCTATCATTATTTCAAACTCACAAGTTAACTGCATTATGAATACTTATATAATATAGTATGAAAAGATGTTTGACAGGTTTGTGTGTAATTTTCTATTAATGTTTTTACATTGCCTTGTTTTTATGTAAAATAAAAAATATGGGCAACTGGTTCATTAACACAATTTCTTCTTAGCTTTTCAAAAAAACATATAAAGTTGTTCTTTTTCCTATTTCATGAACTATGATTTTTTAAAAAATAACATGGTTAAGTTTTATATATATTTATGTTTGTTTCAGAAATGTCTACTTGTGACTTTTTATCAATTAAAAACAATATTTGGAAGAAAGAGCCTATTAAGTATAACCTTGAAGTAAAATTAGACTTCTCTTTCCGTGTGGATTACTGTTTGTACTGATTGTATCACCCTTCAGAAGGCACTGTCATATTAATATTTAAATTTTATAATCACTGAACTTATTACACCCAACAATACAGAATGGCAGTTACACTGAAGAATTTAATTTAGAATAAAATGGAAGCAAACAGGTTTTCTAAAAATTTTTTTTAACTGACCAGGTCTTGCTCTGTCACCCAGGCTAGAGTGCAGTGGCATGATCATAGCTCTCTGCAGCCTCAACTCTGGGCTCAAGCAACCCTCTTGCCTCAGCCTCCCAAGTAGCTAGGACTACAGGTGCATGCCACCATGCCAGCTAATATTTAAATTTTTGTAGATAAGGGGTCTTGCTCTGTTGCCCCAGGCTAGTCTCAAACTCCTGGCTTCAAGTGGTCCTACAGCCATGACCTGCCAACATGCTGGATTACAGGCATGAGCCACCATGCCCCAGACAGGTTTGAACACAAATCTTTCGAATGAAAATTAGAGAATCTAATTTTAGCATTTTGATAGTTACCTAGTTTGCAAAAGATTTGGGTGACTTGTGAGCTGTTTTTAAATGCTGATTGTTGAACATCACAAATATTTAGCATGATTTTATAGAATTTTGATAGCTTTATTTAAAAGAGTGAAAATACAATGCATACATAAATAAAGCAGTTCTAAATAGCTATTTCAGAGAAATGTTAATAGAAGCACTGAGAGAAGGGCCAACTAAATTAGGATGGCCAGGGAATTGGCCTGGGTGTAGGACCTATGTATAAAGGCCACCAGTTTTTAAAAAATATCTGTGGTTTATTATGTTATTATCTTCCCGAGGAAAACAATCAAGAATTGCTTCATGAAAATAAATAGCCATGAATATAATAAAGCTGTTACATAGGATTCTTTACAAATTTTATAGATCTATGAATGCTCAAAATGTTTGAGTTTGTCATAAATTATATTGTAGTTATACTTGAGACCGACACATTGTAATATAATCTAAGAATAAAAGTTATGCAAAATAAAATTATGTTTACACGTATTTTCTGTTTCAGTGAGAATAACCATAGGTGGGTAAAGTCAGTGCATATCTAAATAAGTTGCAGCAACTGACAGCTTTTTCCTTTTCATTGAAAGAAGGACAGCTTTAAACATCCTCCATAAGAAGTGTTCCCGGGAAACAAAGACAAGGATAAAGAATCTAGAATTCCAAAGCAATTTCTTGAAATCTACATCAAGGTTTGTGCAAGGGAGAAAATTGAGACAGGAAGCAAAAATATGCAAACATTTAGCCATGCAGTGATGTATACATTTTTGTGTAATAGCATTAAGAGGTGGTATAGCATACATAATGGCTAAGAGTTTTGGTTCATGGAGACTGTATTGTTCCTGTATGACACAGAGGTAGCCTGGGTTCTTACATTTTTAGTAGCAAATTGGTTGCCATACTAACTACTATTACTACTAATATAAATTCTTGATTCTGTATTGTCAGTCATTGTTCTAACTTCTTTGTGTAGCTTGTCTCATTCTACCGTTACAACCACATCATGGAGTATTACTCTTTTTCTCATTTTACAGATGGGAAAGGTGTACCAGC